CGACAAGTACTTTTGACTACAATTGTAGAAGAATTTTCTGAGAGACTTCACCTGGAAACCAAGTGCCCAATAGGCGGGAAGAAGGGGTTTCCCGATAAAAGCTAGATATTGCTGGGTGACCTCTCCCAGGAGTTGGTCCTGGAAAAAAGTAGAGATCCAAATTTCCGCCGATTGTTCTGTAAATTAACGCTGATCCTGGAGTTGTTGTCACTTCCTGAAAATGCAGCATTCGTTAATTCTCAGGGCACTTCATTCAAAAGCGTCGATCTATTCAAATACCTGTGCATTACTGTTCAAAAAGAGTACACCGTGCGCTTTACCGTCCGGCTCGAGGACCATGTAGAAAGGTTGGACTCCTAAAAAGCTTCTGAGGAGTTCGATTTTGTTTTCATTCCTCCATCCAACGATGCTGCAGTTCTATTCTCCTTAGTAGCGTCCTTAAATTCCACACGGTAAGGCTAAATCTTTGTGTCTGCGAACATCATCTATTAATATTGAGGGGGTTGTGAGAACGGGTTCACTCAGCACTGCAGAATGACCCTACAAATTGTGGTAAAGTTCTGAACATTGATCCGAAAAGCTCAGCAGCGTGGGTCCCACAGGTCAGACGTTACGTAGAAGTTGTACCTTGTCATCATCCTGCGTGAGTGTTAAATGCATGGCGCAATGACCAAGTGCGATCCAATCAATACCATAATGCACTATCTCCTATTCATTCTAGCAGGAACATGTCATAGTTATTCTTCAGCATTTGACCAGGGAAGTCCGCCAACTTACCATGGAACTTTGAATGGAGACCTGGGTAGATCGATAGAGTCTATAAGGTTATTTACAAATATAGATAGCAAAACTGCAACCTGCATTTCACAAGCAACCTTATGAGCAGGTAAATGTGTGTGGTGTTGGTGTTGAGCTGTGATGTATAAGCGAGGAATCGCATACGTCGAATCGAGTCGTCGAACCTTACCACTGAACCACCACGACTCGATTCGACGTATGCGATTCCTCGCTTATGCTTCACAGCTCACCACCAAGCCTCCACCCTACTGCACCATTACAAACTTTACCTGCTCATAAGTTGCTTGTGAAATGCAGGTTGCAGTTTTGCTATCTATATTTGTAAATAACCTTATAGACTCTATCGATCTACCCAGGTCTCCATTCAAACTTCCATGGTATGTTGGCGCACTTCTCTGGTGAGAGCTGGAAGAGCTATGGTTGCTAGTGTTGTGGGTTCCCGAGCGGCTTGGAACTTTCACAACAGTTACATGCCAGGGAAGTTTTCAAACAAGCAACCTCACGCAGAAAAAGAGGTGGTGACTCAGTCACTTATTAGATGGCTCAGAAAGCACTGCCTCCATTCTCGTGAAGGGGAAGAGTACTGACAAGGGAACCCCAACAGGTCGATCCGGCCATTTGCAGTGAGATGTATAAATATGGACGTGTCTTGAGCCGAATCCAAATCTGCCCTCCGATTTTGCGGAACGATTCTCCAAAGGGAGTTA